TAAGGGCTACTTTATGGATTAAGAAAAAAGGGGGAACTAGACTGGAGATTCATCAGAATGGTGACCTGTGGAGAAAAGAGGAAGAGGCAGAGGGCAGGACAAGGATGAGTGAGAGAGAGCGTCATGTGGCTGCTGAGTGGGAACAGGATGGAGGAGGAGGGGCAGATGTGGCGGCCACACCGGCGTGGCCGGCCAGGTACACTGTGCGCTCTGGGCTTTGCCACAGTAGAGGGCCTGTAAGTCAGTGTCACTAAGGGCATCTTGCTGGCCACAGATGGTAGCTGTAGAAGCTATATATAAGGCCGATAACAATGTTCATTATCTATTATGTGCCTAGCACCAGTCTAAGGAGCTATGATGGCACAATGGGTAAGGCATTTGGATGCTAACCAGAAGGTCAGCAGTTCAAACCCACCAGCCACTGCACAGGAGGAAGATGAGGCAATGTACTTCTGTAAGTATTTACAGCCTTGGAAACCCAATGGGGGTCACAAACGACTCCATGGCAGTGGGTTTGGTTTTGGTTTTTCGGCACGAGTCTACGCTCTGTACATGTATTAAGTGATTTAAACTTCCCAACAACCTGAGGAGGTAGGTACTATTAGAATCTTCATCATTTTACTGATGAAGGTAAGTGACTTTGTCATGATCACACAGCCAGGAAGTAGGACAAATGAATTTGGATCCAGGCAGTTTAACCCAGAGACTATGCTCTTAACCACTATGACATACTGCTGGAGCCTTGTTCTCACTTCAGTTGCACTGACCTCTAGATAGGAACCTCAGAGGGCTGTGGATAGTCACTAACACCTTAGTATGAATTGGTCAACCTCTTCCTATCACTGAAGAATAATAACAATTATTGCCATGGTTTATAAGGGCACTGTGGTATAGGAGTTAAGTAGATGGGTTCTGCAGCTATGATGCTTGGGATTAAAGCCTGGCACCACAACTTCCCCAGTCAAACGATGTCCCTAATCTACACCTCAGCTTCCCCATCTGTGAAGCCCCCATTTTCCAGAAACTGAGACACAGAGGGGTCCAACATATGGCACAACCAGGACTCACACCCCTACTGCTTCCAAGGCACAATAATGGGTCTCTGTTCGCCTGCAGCAATAGAAGGAGTGTCCAGAATAATAAAATCCACTCTCGTTGAGTCGGTTCCAACTCACGGCACTCCTAGAGGACAGAGTAGAACTGCCCTATAGGGTTTCTAAGGCTGTCAATCTTTACAGAAGTAAACTGCCTCATCTTTTACCTGTGGAGCAGCTGATGAATGCAACTGAATGCTTTAACCACTATGCCACCAGAGCGCCTTGAGTCAAGAATAGGAGGAAGAAATGGAATGTGTGGCTAATTGCCTCCATGAACAGCCTCCTCTGCCATGAGGCCAGATTGGATGGTGCCTGGATACTGAACATTTTGATCTAAGATTTAAAGAAGAATCCTGATCAAAAGAGAGAATTTCAAATTCTCATGGAATCCAGACTTTCTGGAGTCATAGAGGCTGGATGAACCCCCAAGACTACTGTCCTGAGATTACCTTTAAATCTTAAACCAAAAATATCCACTTAAATCTTTTTAAAACCAACCACCCTTCAGTGTAGTAAATTACTTAGTATGGCTTTTCTACCCATAAGTCATTGTAAACTCAGTGGTGGAATAAGCAACTGAGGAGCTCCTGATTGTAAATGTTATCAACCTGGGTTATTTCTGTTGGGCGTGGCACAACGCAATGTTATGGGAGGCTCTCTCTCAGGTGCTTAGAATTCTGATGCTATGATTGGCTAGTTTGGCCACTCTGCAGGGCTCATAAGCAGGCCTCCTAGAGGCAGAACTCTCTCTCTGACTGCTGGTTGAGGAAGATGTGCTGCTGAAAGAGACATGGGCTCATGAGACACGTGCTGCTGGGATAGAGACGCAAGAGACACGCGTTGCTGAGTAAGACACCAAGGGACATGCACTGCTGGGGGAGAGACTGTGAGAGACTTGGCTGAGAGACGGTGAGCTGGGAGAGAGACTGAGCATTTTTCCTGAACTTGAATTGTAGCCTCGTGCTTCCCTAGTAAACTCCATAATCTGTGAGTTCTGCAGCAAATTATCGAACCCAGGAGAGAGGTGGTGGTGCTTTGGGAGGAATGGTTGGAGAAAGGGCTGGAGGGAGGCAGCATGTCTGGCCTTGTAGGAATAGGCCTTGGGCTATTGATGGTGATTCTGCCTTCCTCTTGTGGGGTTCTAGGAGGTCTGAACATATGGCCTCCTTGCCGTTTTTGCACACCCAAACAAAACAACTCACTGCCGTCAAGTCATTTCTGACTCATGGCACCTCCACTGGGTTTCCAAGGCTGTAATCTTTATGAAAGCAGACTACCTTTTCTCCCATGGAGCAGCTGGTGGGTTCAAACCACTGACCTTTTCGTTAGCAGCCAAATGTCTTAACCACTATACCACCAGAACTCCTTAAAACCAAACAATACTTCAGCTTAGCTAGAAAGTAATGTCTGCCTTGAGCATTATCCTCTTTTAAGATCTATTTACATAGGATCAGATTGGTAACAGCAACTCAAAAGATTAGTTAGGGACCTTAGGGAGGTGAGTTTATGTTTGCGAGGGGCATGACTCATAAAAAAGGAGTGTGAGAATGGTTGCACAACTCAGGGAATGTAATCAATGTCACTGAGTTGAACATGCAGAAACGATTGAACTGGTATATGTTTTGCTGTGTCTATTATCAAAAACAAAAATAAATGAAAATGAATAATGATAGCAGGAACTAAAGAAAAAGAACAAACCTAGGGCTGACTCCCCACCCTGGGCTTTCAGCACTGCCCCACTCGGCCCCACAAAGATGAGGAACCAAGAGTAGACTCTGCAGGGAAGTGGAAAGACTTCTCTAGGCCCAGCGGGCCTTGTGGGATATGGGTGTGGCTCCCTCACCCCAGGCCTCTGATTAGTCAGGACCTATGCTGAGATGCCAGGAGCGACAGACACCTCATTCACTTGTGCAGTGGGAAGGAAGCACTTGAAGTCTTTGAGGTCTGTCTGCAGGGCCTGCGAGGTCATCTGGAGGGCTGGCCAGCCCTGCGGGCTCCAGGAGACTCCTCTCCTTCAAGGCATCTTCTCTTCCCGCCAGGCTGGAGCTCAGAGCCCCGGGATGGGTCCCCGAGCCTGACGAGGCCACTGGTAGCATGTGTAGGGGTTGGGGGTCAGGGACCTCGGCCTCAGGCAGTAGAGGCGAGATGGGAAATGTGCTCTGTCCTTGGGGTGGCACCCCAGCTCTGGCCCCACCCCACCCCAAGTGCAGCCAGTCAGAGGCCTGCCCACCGCCTGACTGTACAGAGCTGGGAGCACTGGTACAACCAGACCAGTTGTTAAAATATTAAAATACTTGTACAGCTTTTGGTATAGTGATGACCCATTTCTGATGCCTCAGTCCTTCCCCTGGGACCCTCCTGACCTTCCTGTGCCCCACCATTAAAGGATTAAATCCGGCCCAGTAAGGGGCACCCCAGACCCCACTGTTCATCCTGGTTGCTTGATGCCCCTGCCAATATTTGAGTATCTGCCCTGATCTACCCCAATGTCAACCCCTCTTCCTACATGTCCTCAGTTATTGGTCCCCATTTCACTCAAACTCCAATGCAGCCTTCAAAGCCCTGCTGCAATGTTTCCTTCTTCAGGAAGCCCTCCTAGATGTCACCACCACCACACCCAGAGGGAATGACTCCTCCCACCTGTGGACTCCCAAGTGTCTTTGCTCTAAACCTCTACACACAGGCCCATCTACCTCAGCAGTGTGTCAGCCAAGCCTAATATGTAGGAATGGCCATGCCCAGTACGTTTCAGGGAGTGGATGAGTGATTTGTTCACCGTGTTGATGTGGTATTGGCCATGTTAGTCGCCTGCACCTCTCCCTTGCCCAGGGACCATGCATGGCCATCCTTCCCATAGGAGCTCTAAGCACCATCCACACGCACACACAGCCCTGCAGGGTCTGGCCAAGGGGGGGGGCGCACGGAGGCGTGAGGACAGGATGTGAGTCCCCGGGCCTTCAGGTCAGCAGGGTTTGTTCTCATGCTCTCTGGCTGAGGAGGAGTGATCCTCCATCTGGCAGGGCCAGCTGTGGGTGCGAGGACGCCAGGGGACAGGATGCAGCAGAGGCTGGACTGGGGGCAGGGCAGGGAGCTCGGGGAAGCCCGTGGTAACCAGGGAGAGGAAAACCAGCCACACGGTGTTATTGTAACAGAACCGTTAAATACAACTTATAAACACGCCTGAGTGGAGGCAGAAATGCATCAGGGGGGCCCCGTCCGGGCCCGGTCCTGGCGGGGGCTCAAGCTGCCACCATCCGAGTCATCCGAGGGGCTGGGCTGGCGGAGGCCCGGCTGCTTGTGGAGGCCACGAAGCTTCCCCAGCAGCTCCTGGACGAAGTCCTGGGGACAGGGCGGGCGTGCTGAGAACATGCGTGAGGTGGGGCACCCCCACCCCAGCAGGGCCCAGCCCCTCAGACCTGGGACCTGGAGCCCCCCTTCCCCTGCTCCCTGGTCAGCACCTACGGAAGGGTAGAAGCTATAGAGACAGGGAGAAGAAAGTGAGGGGAGAGAGACAGAGGAAAGAGAACCAAGTGGAGTGAGAGCCACAGGGAGAGAGAGACCGAGAGACATGGGAGAGACAGAGAAAGGAGGAGAGAGACAGAGATGGGAGAGGGAGAGAGAGAGACATGAGAGAGACAGGGGAGAGGCAGAGAGAGGAGGAGAAGGAGGAGAGAGACAGAGCTAGGGAGAGGAAGAGAGAGAGACATGGGAGAGACAGAGAGAGGAGGAGAGAGACAGAGCTAGGGAGAGGGAGAGAGAGAGACATGGGAGAGACAGAGAGAGGAGGAGAGAGACAGAGATAGGGAGAGAGAGACAGGGAGAGAGAGATGGGCAGAGACAGAGACCCAGACTGACCCAGAGAAACTGAGATGCAGAGATAAAGAGGGAGAGATACAAAGGAACAGAGAAAGAACCGAGACAGAGAGAGACAAAGACGCTTCTCTGGCCAAGAGCTCAGCAGTAGTATCCCCAGAGACAGGCCTGAGACAGCCCCCAGGAGAGACAGACACACAGTGACGTTTGTCCCTCAGACAGCCCAGAGCTGGTCAAAGAAACATGAATATTTTTCCCTTTTAAAGCAGGGAAGGAAGTGGGAGGGGTTGGGCGGCTCAGCTCTGGGACCTGGAAGGATGGGAGGCCCCCTGAGAGGTGGGTGGCAGAGGCAGCAACAGGGGACAGAGGCAGAGCCTACAGACTGCGGCCAGAGACAGAGCCCAGCAGAGAGGCAGCACCGGGAGACAGAAGGGGGAGTGCCTCAGCCACCCAGCAGGGAGGAGATAAGGGAGCCCCGGGGGCAGACAGGGAGAGAGGCGACTGGACGCGAGGGTGAGAAGGACAAAGGACACCTCTGGAGACAAGGAAAGAGCTTGGGAAGGACAAGGGCTCCCCAGGGTCTCCTCTGCCCAGTCCCCTGGGCACAGTCAGCTTCTCTCCTCCCCACAGACCTACCCCCTGTAAGATGCAGAGGAGGGAAAACTTACCTCTGTAGGGTTCATGCAGGACTTCAGGAGTCCCTAAACACCCCCATAAAAGCAAAAGAAAACCATAGTAAATAACTAGTACTACTCCCCCCCCCCCCCCCCTTCTCTCCCCCCCCCCAAACTCTGATGCAGGAAGACAAATGGAAGTCAGACTCCAGAGTGGACTTCCCTCCTGGCTTCAAGGGAGGAACACAGCCTTACAGAGCAACTGGGGCAGAGTAAAGACAAGAAGTCAGACACTGGAGCAGCTCTAGATCCAGAGAAGGGTGAGAAGGTCCTGAAGTATTTCCTGCCTCTAGGAGAGAACAGGCCATAAAAGCAAGGATGCTGGGACCCTACTTCCTGGGCTTAACACCTAGCTCTGCCCCTTCTGTGCTGTGTGACCGTAGACAAGTGATTAAACCTCTCTGGGCCTCATCTTCCTCATCCAGAAAATGGAGATCATAATAACCCTCTTCCCAGGGTTTTACGACGCTTAAATGATCATAAAGCAATTGAAACCGGCTAGCACACAGGATGTGCTCAATAAATGTGCTATTTTATTATTTTTAGGGGTGCAAAATGCAGGACTGGAGGCACCCCTCAACCCACCTACCTGGATTTTCCGGCTTCTCTGCTCTTCACTCTCTAATTCCAACAATTCATCGATGTTGATCTCGTCAGGCATGGCTGCCTCCTAAGGCAGGGAAGGGCGGGTGGTCAGCTTCCCTTTTCCCCTCTCTCCCTTTGTCCAGGGCTTTGGAGAAGCCCGCCAGCCCCAGGGACCAGCTGGCCGGTTCTGGAGCAATAATGTGACAGTCAGGGACAGCACTGCCAAGGCGGGACATCTGGGTGCTGGGGGAAGGGTGACAGATGGGTGACAGAGGCCCGTGCCAGCTCGGATGTCTGGGGCCCTGGCCCCGGGAGCCTGGCGGCTGGCACAGTTCTCTTCCTCTGGCCCCACTTCCCCCAGTGGGCAACAGGCCTAGTCGAGTCTTGGAATGTCATACTCTGGGATTCAGGAGAGGGGCCGGTTCTGCCCTTTCAAGGAAAGTCTAAATGCTAGGTGTGGGGAAGGGAAGTGGGCAGGCTGGAGCCTGCTGGCGTGGCCCCCTTCCCCAAGGGACAGGGAGGGAGGGCAGGGCTCTGGCTGGCTCCTGGGTGCAGAATGCAACCCAGGGAGCTGGCAGTCCCAGATAATGACCACTGAGGGCCCCAAGGTGGGCCAGGGGGATGAGTTACGAGCCCAACTTTAAAGCAGCCAAGAGGGGGACTCCCAGTATGGCCTTTTAGGGTCGTGACCCAAACATGGGCTGCCTCAGTCCTCCTGCAGGGTACAGGACCCAGTTGTCTAAGCAAGAGATCCCTGAGGCTACAAAGTCTTAACAACCCCCTCCGTCACCCCAAAGTCCTGCTTGACTTTGCTTCTCAGGGCTCTGGGGTGTTCTGGGGCTTGGTGACAAGGGTTTAACTCAGGCACACAGTGTTGATCCATGTGCTACGTGCCTGTGTGCATCTGTGCATGACCCAGAGCCTGATGCCAGGGGTCTAGGACTGGTGGGAGGGGGCAGCAGCACATGGCATTGAGGGGGTGACTTTGTGCAGGGACTCGTGCTCCTGGACATCAAAGATGTATGGCCCTGGCTGGGGTGCGTCTGCCATATCATATGTGTCCATAGCCACCAGCAGTACCCACCATCTGAGTAGGACACCGTACAACTGCCAGCAGCCACTCAAAGAAAAACCAAACTCGCTGCCACTGAATCAATTCCAACTCCGAGCGACCCCCATTGGGTTTCCAAAGCTGTAAATCTTTACGGAAGGAGGTTGCCCCATCCTCCTTCCATGGAGCAGCTGGTGGGTTTGAACCGCTGACCCTTTGTTTAGCAGCCAAATGCCTTATACACCACACCACTGGCAACTGTATTTGCCTGTCCTCTGTATGAGCCACGATGTGTTTCTAAGAACAGAAGGACCTCGTGTCTCTGTGAGGGGCTATGGCTGATAGCACGGCAGTGCTCAGGTAAGGACTGTGTATTCCCTGTATGTCTAAGGGACATATGTTAAGACTATCATGTACCTGTAATTGTGTTCAGCAGTGTGTACATGTGTGTGCACAAAGTGCAACTTCAAGTGTGTCAATATATTTAGCTGTAGGGTATGCCCTTACATGTTCACAGGCAGTTGTAGGTTCTTTGTATGTCTGTATGTGTAGAAGGTCAGTGTAAAACAGGAAGACCTTCAATGACATTGTCTGACAAAACGGCTGCAACAACAGGCTCAAACACAACAGTAGTAAGGATGGCCCAGGACCGGGCAGTGTGCTATTCTGCTGTCCACAGGGTCGCTGCGAGTCAGAAACGACTCTGTGCCACCTAATAACAACACCATGTGCCAATAGTACGTGTGGTTTCATGTCTGTTCTTTTGTGTCTGTGAATGGCGGTAGCATCTGTCATTGTGTTTGTGTGTGGTTGTAGTCTGAACCTCTGGAAGATCACGGATGGTTCTAACTTGCGTCATGTTTTGTTCAAGGGTTGCTATGGGAGGTGGCTTGTATTGGTTTGCCTGTATGTACCACTGTTGCTTCCCCCAGTGTGTTTCTGTGAGTAGCTGGAACGAAAAAACGCACTGCCATCTAGTCGGATCCCACTCATACAGACCCCTCCTTGGGTTTCCGAGAGGGTATCTCTCTGGAAGTAGATTGCCCAACCTTCCTTCTGAGGAGTGGCTGGTGCGTTTGAACCGCCAGTCTTCTGGTTCGCAATCAAATGCCTTGTTGTTGTTGTTGTTGTTGTTATTTGCCGTCAAGTCTGCCGACTCAAATGCCTTAGGCAGCTGTAACTTGAGTCATACTGGGTTCGAGGGTAGTTGCTGGGTTGCGTGTCTTCCTGCAGCTGTGGCCTGTGCAGCTGTGCCTGTGGCTGAAGGGCATGTTGATCTGCGAGTGACCACAGTGTGTGTCTTTGGGAGTTTGTGCACGGCTGTTGCTTCTTCTTGTGTGTGTATGAGTTGCCTCTAGTTTCAGTCCTTGTGCAAGTCTGGGTAAGTGAGCTACTGCTTCCTTGGCCGCGCACAGCGTCTCCGTGAAGTTCTATCTCCATGGTCCCCATGCCTATGTTTGGCTTTAAGACATGCCCCCTCCCCCACCCTTTCCCAGATATGGCTGCTCCAGCCCCTCAGTCTTCCCTCTTCAACCCCATATGCTAACCTGCTGGCCCTTTGAGTGTTTGGATACGTCTCTGGGGACCCAAGCGTATGTGCATCTCTGTCCACAACCAGAGTGCCACAGACTGTACACGGCCAGGCCAATGAGTGTGTCCTCTTAGGCGGACGCGGCTGCATGCGCCCAGAGACCCCCAGGAGTGTAGGGTCTCCGGGCCAAGGGTCGGTGGGTCTGGGACCGCCTCCTACTCCCCCCGCCACCCCGCACTCCTGGCCCCATCTCACCCTGCCACGGTACAGCTCCTCCAGGCTCTCGTCGATCCACTTCTCCACGTCCAGACGCCGCTGCAGCTCCCGCCGATCATACTTGACGGTGACCCGCGCGTGCCGTTTCTGCAGGCCCCCGGGGCTGCCCCCCGGCCCGCGGGCCCGCGACGGAGCCTGCAGCTTGCTCAGGACCCGCTTGCCCAGCCGCTGAGCTGCCATGCCGGCTCTGGCCACCGTCTGGCGCCGCGCAGTGAGCCTTCACCCCGCGCCCAAGGGGCCTCTTACGGCCCGGGGCGGGGCCGGCCAGGGGCGGGGGCTCGCTCTGGGCGCGGGCCGGCCCCGCCCCGGACGCGCCGCGCCTCAGTTTCCCCTCCTGCTGCGCGGACCGGTCGCTGAGAGAAGAGCCCGCAGCGATGCACGTTTCAGGTAGAGAGGGAGGGTCCGAGAACCCCAGGTATGGTCCGGGCGTTTGGGGCTCCTGGGGCCCAGATCCCGGGGGGCGGGTCCAGGCTCTTGGAGACTAGGCTTGCCCACGCCCTCTGGTGGCCGCAGAGGCCGGTGCAGGAGCCCGTGCGCCACCTCAAGGGAAATTCTAGCCATAGTACTTTGATCGTCGTTTGTTCATTCTTCCAGTCAGCCATCCGTCCAGTCACGCATGCATTCATTCATTCCCTCACTTACTCCCACTCTGTGCAACATTTAGCGAGTGCTTGCTCTATACCAGGCACTGTTCTAGGCGCTTGGGATGGGCGATGAACAAAACAGGCTTAGTACTCGTGGAGTTGATATCCTTGTGGCAGAAACAGATAGTAAACATAGTGAATCGGTACAGTACACTAACAATTTATTAGACTATAGTAAATGCAGTGGAGAAACATAAAGCAGGACAGGGAAGGACGGAGCGCAGTGCAGTGAATTACTTAATATGGCCCTCCTAGCCACACTCTTTGTAATTCCCACCAAACGACTGCTTGCGACTATGCAAATGAGGTGCTTGTGGTCCACCAAGGGGACTGGATAGCTTGTAAATAAGGTGCGTAGCACCCTTGTGGGAGTGAAACCATGCAAATATGTATGGAACCCTGATGAAGGGATTGGTCAGTTTTTCCATCCCACTAGACTTAAAGAGAAGGAGCTGTGGTGGTGTACTGGTTAAGGAATTTGACTGCTAACCAGAAGGCTGGTGGTGCGAACCCACCAGCCACTCCTCAGAAGGAAGATGGGGCAATCTACTTCCGTAGTGATACCACCTTGGAAATCCAAGAAGGGGTTACTATGAGTTGAATCTGACTTGATGGCTGTGGGTGGGTGCGGTAATGAACATTAGTTGCAGAAGATGGCAGAAGCCAGGAGACCGGGTGAGAGGGCTGCTGTCGGGCCTACCCACCCACAGAACTAAGAGTTGTACTATTCACCAGAGAAGTCCCCAAGCAGGGCCCAGCCACAGAGAGCGAGAAGAAGCTGTCCTGATTAAGAACTGTATTCTGGGTTGTTCCTGTTACTTCTAAGTTGATCATGGTCCTCAGTTGCAACCTGTTACTTCCCTAATAAGCCCCACAATTGTAAGTACGGTCTGTGAGTTCCGTGTGGCTGTGTCAACCAATTACGGAACCAGGCAGAGAAGTAGAGAGTTCCGTGGGAAGGACAGTTGGCATTAGAACTGGTAGAAAGGATGGAGAGAGGAGGCAGGTCTGACCTCATAGGAATCAGCTGTTGATCTTGCTTCCCTTTCCCCTTGTGAAGTCAGATGATGTCGCCATGCCATTTTTACGTGGAGTGAGGGTGGAGTTGAAATTTTAGCTAGGATGACTAGCAAAGCTCCACATCCCATAACAGTCTCACCAGGAATAATTCTTTTTTTTGTCTTCTCTTTTTTTTTTTTAATTGTGATTTGAGTGAAGACTTACAGAGTAAATTCACTTTCCATACAGCAGTTCACATATACTTTGTCTCATGTCATCAACCACAGTTTACCACAATCCAACAGCTCCCCTCCCACTTCTTCCCCATAGTTACCACTTCCCAGTGTCCATCCCTCCATACTCTCCTGCCCCCTGAGCTGTCTCCCTGTGCATAAGCAGCCCTTCCTTCTCCCATGATTGTTCTCTCCAG